TGTGGGTAATGTGTCCCAGGTCTGGCCTGTGGTCCGGCATGCTGCTCCCCATATTTAACACCCTTTGTGCCATCCTCTCGGCACTAATCTGTCTTTTCACTGAGTGTTAAAATTAATTTGCAATGATTTCTATGAGGGCACAGGCATCGTTAGGAAACCTCAAAGGGGCTACAAAATGGACAAGTTGCCAATAGTCGGCCTTTGTCCTTGGTCTGCCCCTTTCTAAATACCCATGACAGCAGCTTTGAAATGCCTGCCTGATGAGGCTCAGATGCTCTGGCTGTGGACATCAGAGTGACCATACTTATCTGGCTGTGAAAAACATCTCATGACAAAGACAAACCCACAGCAGCAAACAATACCATGCGGACTGGATTCCAAAACTGCCCGAGTCAGAGAGTCCAGCTCGCATTGCTCGGTGATGTATCACGATACAGTAATCCTTGTTGGCTCTGAAATTACAGATAAAATGTAATTTGATTTTACATTAATACCTCAAAGCTATCTCAACGGTGCAAGTCCCGAAGGAGAACTCCAGCGAAAAGAGATAATCGTATCACTGCAGTCTGCTTGGCATCTACACAAAACTGTGTTCCCATGGGAAAACTGTAGACACAACTGTTTAGTTGAAGCTTCCCAGTGGTGCTCATAATGCCATTAATTGTGTGAAGGGAGAGTTGGAGAAAGAGCCAACCATGGAGAGCCCCGGAGGAAGCCGCAACTTGTAAAGCAGGTTTGTGTGAGCTTGCCGCTGTGCTGTATGAGGTCAGAGCTTCTCCGGCTCACATCTTCTGTCTTTTATTCTTTCTTCTTCTTTTATCTTTCTTTATTTAATCTTTCTCTCTCTCTGTTTATCTCTCTCACTCTCTCCCCCTCACACACAAACTGTCTCTCGGCGTCTCACCCCCATAAAACAAGAGGGAAGAATTAATGACACAAACATTTCTGACGTCTGGGCCCCCTTTTCTCCGTCGGCCTCACTCTCACTCTATAAAAAAGATAAACCTATAAGCTTCAAGGAGAGAGACGGAGGAACCAAGGATGGAGAGAAAAAGAGAGCAAAAGAATAAAAGTGAGAGGAGGCCGGTTGTGGGTGGGTGTGGTGGGAGAGTTCCTCTCATCAAACTAAACTTCCATCTCCCTCAAAGACAGACTCAGATTCCAGCAAGCCAATCAGCCAATCTAAGACAAATGATTTTGTTGAGCTTTCCTGCCACACTGGGCGTGGGAACGGCACAGATTCTCATAAAAAAAAAAAAAAAAAAGAGCCTGTAAATTATTTCCCTCCTGCTTCAAAGACCTAAACAACAAAAAAGGTTTGTGTTTATGTGCGGTGTTTCTGTGTTGTTGTCTTTGAGCCTGTTGGTCTCGGCTGGTTTACTGTGCATGTGAGTGTAAACACTATTTGGGATCTACAGCTGTCTGCTCACGTGCGACAGTCTGAGAGACGAAATACAAAAGGATGCCGTCTTTCATTCTCATGGATAAATATTCAAGGGTCATTTAAACCAGGGGGGTCCTGTTGCATTACGCTTTTCTCGAGGCGGCGTTTTGATCAAAGCCGTTTGTAGGACCTCTTTCCTCTCCTCTTCCCCCACGCCCCACACTCCAACCCCCAAACCACGTCTGCCTTGCTGCTGCTAATCATTGGTGGTCTCCTGACTGCCAACAGTAATTGATTAGGGAGCACAGGACTGGCGGGGGGAGGAGGGAGGATGGAGGGGAAAGTTCAACCCAGAAGTTCTCAAGGTCACTGCCCTCCCTTCCCCACCCCGCCAAAACTCCTTTTCTCATGCTATTAGGTATCAGCCACGGGGGGGAAACTGCAAATATTTGGCACACTTGGTCCGACTTCCAAGAGGTTTGGTGGCGGCATGCATAAACAGGAAGATCTGGAAGATCTGTGTAAACGAAATGGATGCATGTGTTTAAGTGAAGTTCGGTTGCGAAAAGGCTCAATTTGCGATGTGTTGATTTATCTGAACTCATCGTCCCTGGTTGAATACACTTATCTTTGTGGACCCCCCCCCTCGCTGTTCTAAGAATGTCGCTGTGTCGTTTGGCCCTCAGCGGTTGCTCAACACCCTCGACAATACAAAGTGGGTTGTGGATGTTATTCTGAAGCAATAACTCCCACCATTCCTCCTGGTTTCACAGGAAGAGGTGACATTCCTCGCCTTTGGAAAGTGACTCATGCTGCTGTCTTGTTTAGTAAATACAATTACAGACTAGTTGAAACATTCTCCTCTTCTGTGAATTAGAGCAGAGAAAGGGGGCCTCTATTTCTTTCTGCTTTTGTGTGCCTGTGTGAGTTCTCTCTACGGCCAAACAGGGTTATGTTCACCAGAGAGCCTGACTGTGGACCCAGAGTCTTGACGCCATGGAAACATGACTGTCACAGGAAATGTTCAACATGTTTCACTGTGCTGCAACTGAGCAAGAGGTGAGGGTGTTTTAGAGAGGACCAACTCCCAGAGCTGAGGGCTGGTGTTGACGTTGGCTCCAAGGCTGTTTGGGGCCTGTCCAGAATCGACCACTCTCTGGTAGTGGGACCAATGAAAACACACACAGAGCATGCTCAGATACTCACAGACCTATGTCTGGACATGTAGACTAACTCACCAGGTGCAATGAGGTCCGGTGATGTAACTTCACGAAGGCACAGAGAAAAGTTTAAAAAAAAACTAAGAGACAAAGTTAAAGACAAATAATTAGAATAGTTTCAAATTTACATCGTCACTCAGAGAGTGGAGACTGGTGGGTTTCCATGTCTGCCACAGTCATCTCTCCCACAGATGACCCCAGGCTGAGACAGCTGTGAAACATTCATTTTTGTCTGTCTGTCACTTACGCTGTCTCTCAACATTTATATAAATCTGCCAGTAAAGGTCACAGATTTTCAGATAATTTCAAACATATCCTGTATAAAGGAGATGGAGCATTAATCCTACATATATCTTTTCGTTCCCCTACTGCTTATATTCAAACAACATGTAAGAAGGATTACGACCAAACTTGATATTCTTGCAAATTCCAGATCAAGATATCATGAAAGCCGGCCTCACTAGGCTGCGAATGAAAAGCACTTGTGTGGTTTAACTTTATCCAGACTTGTGAATACCAGAGGAGGTCGTTCTAAGAAGTGGTGGGTTCTGTTTTATGTCCCGTCAGTGTCGTGAATCTGCTCTCTACTGCCCCCCTTTGTTGGGCATGTAGTATTAACCAGGGTTATGTCACAGACCTCTACTTTCAAATCCCTCCAGTCACAGGGCTGTACAATGTTTTAACCATACACACTTGTTCTCAACACTGCAGAATTAAATAATTTACATACATAATATATATTTTTTCTTTTGAATGCTTCACTCCAAAAAAATGGCTTGCAGCTGTTTTTAAGTGGAGGGCAGGTTTCCTTTTCCTAATGTATGTCACCCTCACTGTAGCTCTCAGCTCGTGAGTGTCTTGGCCTCTGAGCTTTACATCTGAGGTAAAGTGAGCCCAAATAGATGTCTGCCACTAATTGCGAGGCCATGTTGTTCACGTCATATCACCTTTTCTCCCAGTGGAAACCATCATGTGGGTCTCTGAGTGACATGGGTATAAAGGCACTTTTTATTCCACTACAAAGTCCTCAGCCCTGCACTAAGTCTGTCAATATTCAGCTGGCCTCCCACTGAAATCACCTCAAGGTGCTGTAATTTGTGCCTATAGCAACTAAGTCTCACTGGAACTTTACTACCTGAAAAGATGAGGATATCTCGGAAAGTAGAATGAACCTTTGCTTCTATCTGCTACCAGTGCGCAGAGATTATTCTACTGCACGCCAACAAATTGTTTAGCCTAATTTAAGAATCGTAAGTGTTTGAGGTCAGCTTTTATTTGGGAGAAAAATAGTCAGTGTAGTTAAAACCCCAATTAAGGCAACCTTTGTGGTACATTTTAATTTAAACATAGAGCCGAGTTTTCCATATGAATGTGGGTAATATATTGCTTTGGCACTTTCTTTTATGATAGAAGAATTATATGTAGAATAACTAAAGAAACAAAGAAGTTAATCTAGATTTTACACACTGTAGGCAGGTAAACATCAGGCTACTGGCAAGAAATACATTTGTTACTGGCTGATGATGGGGGTAGAAATGGAAGAAACTGAGGAAAGTAATGTTAGAGTTAAAGCAAGAAACAATAGCAGCTTCCTTTCACTCCGATTATTCCAATTATTCCCATCACTCTACTTTCAATTCATGGCCGTTGCAAAAACACACGGATATCATCTTTTCATACAAGCTCTCAGTGTGGGTGGTGTGGCAAAAGGGTTTTAAGCTGATGCTGGACGACTTATCATGCAGCAGAGAACAGGACCGGGCCTGTGGAATGAAGGAAATGTTATCCGATGCCATAGGGGTTGTATTAGCTAAGCATCCGCCAGCCCATATTCTCACCGGTTTCTATACATGCAGTAAGTCCCCAACAGATGACCCACATGGAAATTGAACACTGACTTGTAATAATATAATCACATGCCCCGACACATGCACAATCATGCATGGACACGAGCACCAATACAAAGACATGAACGGTATAATCACACAAATGCAACTTATTTTCCTTGTTATTATCCACATTTCATATAGTTTATGTCAAGATCATATTTTGGCAGGGTGTTGCTGCCTTATTAGAGCCCTTTGAAACCAGAGCTGTATCCACAATGAGGCTGCTTTACATATCAAAGCCTGCTGATTAAGCCCAGCATTCATTTCAAGTGTTCACCTGACCCGGAGCATGAACTGTTCTATTTATTTCCCTCCTCTCCTAAGCAACACATGTTGCAGATGAGTGTTTGTGTTGTGTGCAGAGGCTGTGGCTTCTGTCACGGGGCAGTATTATATCTCAGAGGTGTGGATGGTTTGTTTATCTTCTGCAGTCTGCGGAGGTTTATCTGATCAAATTGCAGAATGGGGCGTTTGGCAGTATAGCGAATGTATTAGGCAGCCACCGCTATGGAAAGTGCAAATGCAGAGAAACAGCGGCCTCGTAGGCGGCCATGGAGAAAGAGCACTCCACGTCTTTCACGCGGGCTGCTCTGCTGCTCATGTTTGCGCGGTGAGGAGAGGGATCCTCTGCAGCAGCAGGAAGAGAAGATTAACGGGGACTCTCGGCATCCACACTTGGATCAACGGGGATCAGGTGAGAGGGAGGCTATCCAGATTACGATAGAGGATCTGGGGATAGTTAACACCAGCTTCAGCCTGTTCGAGGAGGACCCCCTGACCTCCAGCAACAGCACGGCCCGCTCAGCCAGCTCTGTGTCTGCCTGCCTGAGGGCTCTGAAAAAGAAACGACTGAGGCCTCTGTCTTCACTCCCTGTAGAGATCCAGGGAAAACTGGCCATCACTTCTACCAGTGGAGAAGATGAAGAGGTGGACGACCCGCCAGCTCCTGGAAGCCTCCTGAGACCGCCTGTCATTAATCTGATCCCACCCACTCCATCTGACGTCGTTGACGACGATCAATTCTTTGACATTAATTCAGAAGAAAGTGTGGCAAATACATGTGGCAGTGGTGGAAGCTTTGATGCTGGTGACCAGGAGCGCTATGTGGAAAAGATGGAGAGTGCTGAGGCAAAAGAGTCAACGGGGGAATTCACACTGGCTGAGAATAAGGTCAGTGCTGATAATTCAGCTGAGCCTGAAGAGGGCCTACGTGATGAATCTGGAGACGAAAGACAGGCTGTGACATCCAGAGAGGAGGATAAAGAGAAAACAAAGCCCAGGCTCTTACGTTGCGCCTACCAGGTGGCTCCTCTCCCTAAGTACCCTCAGAAAAGTGAGTGTAACAGTGATAACATCTCCAGTGCTGTTTCATGGAAGTCAACAAATAAAGCAAAACTTGAGAGATAGATGAGACGATTAACGTTGATTTAGTATCTGCATGTTCAACAGCAAAGTTCCTCCGTAATGTTTGGCCTAGATTCTCAAAAAACACTGAAAGCAGCTTTAAGCTTTGTCATATCTACCCTCCAACAACTCCAAAGCGTTTACTGATTGTGTGTTTAACTTGTGTGGAAATAGGAAACTACACCCACTGAACAAAATAATTAGACGATAGAATAAAACATACTATTTGGACAAAGCTGTTGCATGGTTCTTTTTTTAAATGAGGCTAAGTGTTAAAATAGGCTAAACACACCCTGAATAAATGGCTTTTATTTATTTACAGTTTGATCTCAGTTGGACAGGTCAGGTGTAAATAATGAAACTAATGATGATTTTGTATCAAAGTCAAAATAAAAAAAATATATTTCACAAAATGTTGGAATGTTTCTTTCACAGGAAATTGTTGTCACAAAGGTTGTCGTGGTTTCTTTCTCTGTCATAGGCAGCTTCAACACTGGGATAAATCTCTTGTCATTTACTGAGCACAACTTTGGTGAGTTTTCTTGAAGTAAATTTGCAAGTATTTGTATTCAAACCTTTGTTTTCATTCAGGCAAACTCTAGGCGAGAGGTAAATGGCACCAGATGATGGTTCGCTCCATCCAGCTGTTGAGCTTATGTGTTGCCTCTTCGTTTTGATCTTAGTTCCTCATTCAGGCGAAGGTCATTATGTGACATGGCTACAGTACCTTGAACGCCTCCTTTGGGAGTTGCAGAAGTTCCCCTTTGTTGGAATCCCTTTTTAGCCATTGTGTGTGTATTCCCAGTGCGTGGCTGGGCAGGCGGTTCCCAGGTTTTGGGTTCCTGTGACTCAGCATGCTCTCCTCCCTCACTCGTCTCTCAAAGAGCTTCATTTCTTTTCAAACCAAAGGAGGACAATAATATTGGAAACGATAAGCATCGCTTTTGCCTATCCATTACATGAATGTGCTGAAAAGTTCTGACTCTAAAGCTTTGCTTTGTCATTAAACCCTGTGCGTGTCTGTGTGCGACTGGTCGTCAAACTTTGTCACGCACCAAACCTGGATTGCTCAGTGTGTTTGTGTGTGCACATGCAAGGATGCACTGTGTTTGTGTGTCTTTACTAACCAGTCAAGGGTGAGAGAACTCACTCATGCTTTGACTTGGCCTGAGGGAGCCAGTTCAGACTGGGAATGATGTCCATCTCGCCGTTACTGGTGATTTCACCCTTTATGGCAACATCAGGCTGTGTCCCTGAGCCTGCCCAAAATTTTCCTGTCCTTCTTTGTTTTGATTGGGCTTTTCCCAGACGATGCAGGCTGCGTGAAGTCTGAACATGGCTGTGGTGGTAGGGTGGGTGTACTGCTACCCTCCATTAGCATTCTCAGACAACTCTGCATCTTGTGTCCCTTCTCCCATGCCCGATGAAAAACAGAGCGAGACTGGAAATGATTTACTCAGGATCTCATAGACACACTGTAGTGTCTGAGGTCAGCTAGAGGATGGTGCTCCTAAATACCATCACGTTGAGCCTAGACCCATCGCTTTTCTCACTCGCCTGTTCTAGTTTAGGTTCTGTTTTGCATGGTGAGTGTGCTAAATTTGCTTAGCATTAGTCCAGACTCCATGATCCTCTACTGACTCACAGGCCAGCCAGGTGATGAAGAGAGTGCCAGCTCGCTGCCCCCCTCCTTGTACTCCACTGTCTCTCCAGGACCCAGACAAGATTCCACTGCTGACACACATAAACCAATTACACTGTCTTATCTGATTCTGACTCCATCTAAACTCCCATCCATGTCAAACCAGCCTTTCAGAAACAAGCCCCTGAAATGAAAAACATGTGTTTAAGAAATTAGTCTGAATTTTTCGTTGGGTAAACTATTTGAAAAGCTGTTTTCAGCGGTAAAGGGGCTTGTTAGGCTTCAATCTGTGACGATATATAACTTAAAGTAGTTACAACTCAGAAACTGCAAACATTCCAACATCTATCACATCACACCGTTGTCGCCTGAGAAAGCCGGGGCCTATCTCGGCTGCCATATTCTCAGCCTCATTCGTCTTGCTTGTTATGATAGCAGAAAAAAAAGATATCTGCTCGCTGACCAAGTGACGTTTGGAAAATGTAAGAATATGGTCCTTCTGTGGGAAAGAACTTGGGTTGTTGTCAGAGAAGTATGTCATCAACTAGACGGACATTAGTGTGCACGACGGGTTCCCAAGCAACCCCATGTAGCTGTGTCCAGTATCAGCACCAGTTACTGGACCTGGTGACCTGCACGCCAGGAAAAGGCTGAGAAGGCCTAAAACTCCTAAAAGAATAGAGTGGCCTAAAAGGCTGAAAACAAAGACTTTATTAAAGTGTTTGTCTTCCATAGAGTGAGTAACTCAGATGACTGGGATCAACTCGTATTCATGTATTGACTTATTGTTAATATTACTATGCAGATGAACTGAGCAACAGAGATGTGAACTGCTTCGACATGCTGAAAGATGAACTCTGCCTCCTTCCTCGCGCTGCCAACATGGACACATTTACTCATCAAAGGGTAATGACTTTTTTATTTATTATTTTTTTTACCCAAAAGCTTTTCATGTGATCTCTTCCATGCTATAAGACCCACACAGGCACCATAAATGGAATTTATAATGGAAGAAAGGTTTTTTATCTGATTTATACTGTGACCGCGTATTACGACTTGAAAATACTTACTGACTGTGAATTGATTAGACGGGGCTGGATTATCAGTCTAATGTTAACTGAAAACTGTATCACGTGACAGAGGCCCATAATGCGCTCCTGCAGTCTTGAGGACCCGCTGACCAGGAGCTCCACTTTCCACACTTTATCCCAGACTACAGACCACCAGGAAGAGGAGGGGCCGCTACGACAACGACGCATAACCGTTGGTGAGTCTGGTAATATTATATTATGGACAAACAAGATCGCTCTACATAACACTACTGACGTATGATTAAAAAAATAACACAAGTGTGTTTTTTTACGCCCTTCATGCAGCATCATATATGCCTCAGTCTAAGGATCAGAATGGAAACTTCCCCGAGAAGGTACTGTAAACCATCAAAGGCCTTCAGGGTGGCATCAGCACACAGCCCAGAGCTGCCACAATTACAGAATATGCTCTGTTTATATTTCCCAGCTCCCTTGATCTGTCAAAGCAATGACTCTGCAAATAGTCTTAGGATTTTCATCTTTGTGTCCAGGATTTGCCAAGCAAGATTGCTCGTATCCTTAGCAATCCATGTGTTAGCTGAAACACAAAACGGGAAGTTTTTTTTATTTTTTAAAGGCAAATTGCTCACATCCTGCATTTACTATCTCCATGCATTATCAACTGTTTTATTCTCCCCTGGTTCCCCATCAAATAATATGAATATATAAAAAACATCTGTGTATGTACTGTATCTTAAGCAGTCCCGCCTCAAACTAGAAGCCCACACTTGGACCCAAAATTAGAAAAAATGGCTGAAATTAGTGATTAATTATGTAGTTTTAATTATGATCGAAAAGTTTTTTAGTTTTTTTTAAACATAAAGGTGAAATCGCTTAGACAAGGCAAACCTCTCACCTCGATGTATCTAATCAGTCCACAGTCACCTTGTAAATACTGGAGGCAGGGAACACTGAACACTAAACAGAGAATCTGTGACGAAGGCAACGATTACATAGAAGCGTGTTTAGGTAAACATTTTTTTATCCTTTCTAAACCTTTTTTTTACAAAATAAGCAGAGAAATGTGTTTATTTGCTGTGACGTGTCGAAACACGGATATCCAACACAGTCATAGTTACTTTGAATGAGTCGGCAACAGACAATGACAAAGTTCCTGGGAGTTTAACCCTGTTTTGTCTTGAAGTCCTGCCGCCTATTAAATAGGTTTTCACATGCAGCAGTTTGAATCATCTCTGTGCGTCATGAGCCTCCCTCTTTGCTTTTCCCAACCTTTACTTATCTTTTGGATTTACAAAATAAAAAAGAACACTTATACTGTATGATATATAACTATATCGCTTCTCAAAACAAAAGCTTAAAGAGTATGTTGTTTGTATATAGTATGTGGGACATTATGTGCATGTTTTGTTTGTAGTGTGCTGTTCATAAAAGTAGTTTTCCCATGTCACTTGCTCCACGTAGGATGTGCAAAAGCAGCAGGTATGTAACCTCTCCTTCTCCTCAGGACGTGGACAGGCAAGTGGCCAAATGTCTTGGGGAGCTGAACACAGATGAAGTCTGCCAGTGGTTTAGCAGTATTGGACTGCAGAAGTGTCTTCCTTTCATCAGAGGTAAAACACATTTTTCTGACAATCTCCTCTCCCAGCCCTTTGGTGTAATAACAAAGGCAGACATTGCCAATTTGATTGATCTTTACCGCAGATAAAATCAAATTTCCTTTTAATGAATCTCAATAACCTGAAGGCAAAAGGAGATGAGGTTAATTAAACCTGACACCATACATCACATTTCTGCAATAATAAACTTAATATCCTTTATATCTCTTGTAGTTTATGCTTCGGGTAAACATACAAGTAATTTGTCATCGAGTTTCCTTAGCCTAAAAAAACCGCTCTCTTACATTTAGGCCTTTCTTCCTAGTCCAGTTCTAGCATTATGGATTTCTGATAATATTTGTTGTCTTACTAATATAAGGCTGTAAAACCTAATATATTTGTGTAAATATTAACGGTTACATTTCATTTTTAGATTTGAAAGATGTAACTTGTATATCAGTAAATGCCCAATTTCCACATTTTCCCTCGAAAAAATTAAATAGCATTCAGGTACGCAAAGACTTGTCATTTGCCTTCTTCATGTTTGTCTTTTACAATTCTTTATTATGGATTACAGTTTAGTGGCTGCGGTACTTGTCCCAGATTTCTTGAAGTATGTAGGTGACTAAAAGTTTCTGTTCCAGATGTAAAACTGTGTGGAGCAGACATAGCGTCGGTGGATGTGAACACTCTGGACATCCTCCACATCGCCACACTGGAGGAGAGGGAGCAGCTACTGTCGGCCATTTATAAGGAGCTGCACCCTTCCAGCCCAATCACCCAGAGACTCGACGCTTTGCTTGGTGAACCTTTATCATTACAACACGATGAATAAACATTCACCCGCACAGCTGGCAACTGAAATGATTACTGACGTTTCTCTTTTTCTACAGAATCCTTAGGCCCTAACAATGTTGAGACGTTCACTGCAACATTAGTGTCAATGAGCACATCTAAGTCCTCTCCTCATGTGAGCTGCCTGAGCATGAATCGCCGTTCCCTCAAGCTCAGGTACAGCCTCTCATATCTAAAAACAAAAAACAAACAACAAAATAATCTTTATTTTAATATCTTCGCCTTTTTCCCCTAAAGAAACAACAGCCAAAACTCCATGGGACAGAGGAATGCTCAGATGATAGAGATTACTATTAATGGTGAGTAACTGATTATTAGGTTAAATACATAGAGTGGATTATTACTAAGACACTATAAAGACAAACTATTTACATTTACAGCATGTAAGCAGATGTGAATATTAAACATTCAATCATGGTCACATATAGTCACATAAATCAAGCATCCATACTATACTACTTTCCGATTGCTGTGTCATGTCGTGTTGCAGCATCAGAGCGGATCGTTCATCTCCGAACCCCAAAGGAAACAACAGTGGGAAAAATCATGGATTCGTGCATCAAAATGTTGGGAGTGACAGACGATAAGAGCCTCTTCATACTGAGAGAAAAGCAAGGTGCACAGTTCACCATAAGGTCATTATCTAAAAAAACAAACAAACAGACACATGTATTCACTGTGCTTCGGTTTTAAGGTTCATCAGAAGACCTCCCACCAGATCAGCAGATTGACAGCCTACTGACATCGACATCCGAGAACAGACAATTGGAGCTGCACTTGTGTAAAACGGTAACACCGATCATTTATACATAAGGTACCAGGCTTTACCTGACATATAACATTTAACAAGACACCTCTCTGTATGCTTTTGCATCAAAGGAGAGGCCATCAGGTACATTATCACAAAAAAATCCTGGAGTCCACAGCTCTAATGAGAGCAGCAACATCAACAAAAATGTCCAGTTGAACCAGCCAGCTAAAGAAGAGAGGATCAGAGAGCTAAACCAACATGTGGACTCGCTCCAAAATGTCATCCTTCAGGTCAATATCGCTCTTCAACTATATCTATGAAAGCATGTGACAGAAAACTACATGTAATGCTGCTGTAACTGTGGTGAATGTATTCATTTTGTGATCTTGAACTGATCTCTTGAATACAAAGGTCCAGGAGCTCCACCACGGCCTGGTGGCATTTTGCTCAGAGATAAAGAACATGGATGGAGATGTGGATGTAGACAGGCTGAGCTCCGCTGAGCTGAAGGAGAGGCTGGAGTTGGTTAAAAGCCGTCTGAACGACAAGAGGCAGAGCCTGCAGACCCTCAGAGACAACATTAACAACTCCACTGCTCACAAGAAGAAGTAGGTGCACTGCCTCGGTTAATTAGTAGCTTGTTCAACGACGCAGAACACTTTTCTTCCACCTTCCAAAGACATAAACAGCAGTTAGATTAGAGACTACCAAATGCCCATTGATTTGAATGTACTGTAAAATTGACCATGTGTAGAAATGTCTTGTTGTTTGTGTTACTTGCTTGTGTTTGACTACCATCCACCCAAATACACGATATGTGATGTTACTGGAAACCAAAAAGTAGGAACAGTTAATGAATAACTGAATACAAAGGTAATCGTAGCTAATCATCTTTTGAGACTTTTAGGAGACTTTTTTTGTTTGTTTTACAAAATCACATGGCAGAAAAAAAACCAGGTCGAGACCTGTAGGTATGAGTAGTCATACCTACAGGTCTCGACAATGTCCATTTGTTATGTTTTTTCAACTCTTGGGAAATTCACGTAACCTTAACTACATTTAAACCGTGTATTTATGTATATAGCTGACCTAGAATGAAATGTGGTCTTTTGCCATTCAGACAGTTGGAAGTTCGTCTCTTGGAAAAAATGAAACTGAACTGCCAAGTGTTTAAGGAGGAAATTTCCATGGTACATCTCAACCGGCAGCTGGCTCACCTCCAAAATGCTTTGCAAGAAAGCTATGTTAAGGTACTGCTGAATACAGATCACTAACACCTTTCATGGATCATTTGCACCACTGCAGAATTGAACCAACAGGCTGACGATCTGGAGCTCCGTCAAATGGAGTTTAATCAATAGCACGTCAAACACAGTCGCACCAATATGTGAGAAAGCTGTATGGTCGGAGACAAAGAATGTTTTGATTGCTAAAAATAAACAATGAGAAACTGCGATTTCCACCAAAAACAGCGCTATTTATCGAGAGAAGCATGTGTGGTATGAGATACTAAAATCAAGCTTCTGCTGAAGAAAGTCAGAAATTCAAATTGTCCATTTATGGACAATAACGCCATGGCCACGCTGTTTCCCCTGTCTTTAACCATATCAGAACAACTTGTGCAGTACACAGAGTATAACTGGCCTTTTTCTCACTAGTGAAAGCCATACTGTGATAATCACAGAGGATAAATCAATCTACAGAACATAAGAAGTTCATATATTTGACATTTAATTGTCCAGCAGCAGAATTAGCACAAACTAGGACAGGATGTAACAGCTTCCTGATGTGGTAGGTCATTATTTGACACTATTATGTCCATCGTCTTTGATCTTATCTCCACTGTTCTCCTGAGTGACACCACAATGCTCCATTCAGCCTACTCTGTTTCGTTAAGTTGTGCAGTTGAGAGTGGCTATACAAGGCTGAGGAATTTTCTCGGGATGAACATGCACTTTTTCTGAGAAAATGATGTTTAGCGCTGACATCCGAGAGCCTGTGACCATACCAACAATGGAATGTGTGTGACAAAAGCCACTGGGAGAGTGCAATGGAGAACTGGGCCAGCATGTGTAAAACTATCTCCATCTATCCCCGGAGGAGCCTACTTCTTTTTTAATGTGGCTCTTTTATCCCGTTGGAGAAGCCCTAACGAGGTGCCATGAAAGGACACACGCGGCTTCGGCTTTGAAAGGTGCTCCGTGTCACGTTGCCGCCCCGGGGCCACACTTTTTTAGGTGCTGAGTTTGTGGGAAAAGCAGCAGCGCTAATGTTTATCATATGACCTAATCAGAGTTAACACACAGGTCAGAGCTGAGGAGCAGCCTGGGAACTGATGGAGCTGCTACTCTAATAAGGAGCAGACCGCCCCGTGTTTGGTCTCGCAGGCTGCCCTGCATTACAGACAATGAGGAAATATTTCATCATTGGCAGTCTAATCTCCGGGATCTATTGCAACTGGAGAGCATCAATAAAGCAGCCGAGAGGGAAGGACAAAGAGAAACAGAGGGCGAGAGTGAAGGGAGGAGGGGAAGGACAACAAACGGTGGAAATCATTTTAAATAAGCAGTTTAGCTTGGACAACTCAAAAACCTCGGACAGACTATTAAAGAGGGGGAATTGAAAGAAATACTGTTATGTCCACACTTTAGTTGCACATGTCTGTTGAGGATGGATTGAGTTCTGAGAAGAATCTGCCACCACTTTGCCCCCGAGTTTAAGAAATGGATAGGATGCCTCCAGTTTTTTGTGTCATGATACCAGTTGTGTTGATCTTTACGGTCAGATTGTCTCCTATTACTCTGTCCTCCATTTTCTACTCCAAGGTTTGTGGTGTTAAAGATCTCTGCTGAGCAGCCAAGGTGTTCAGAATGACAGCACTGCATTTAGAACTACCAACACCCATCATTATGAGTGAAACACTATCCCTTCCACTTAGCATCTATTTGTCGTCTGAGCTTTCAGAGGACCATTCCTCAAACAAAGTCCTTTCACAGATCATGTTGTAGCTTCCTATGATGGAGGCAGATTATTTTATTCATGAAATTAGCAGCTTTTTTTCTCACAGAGACAAAATTCTCTCTGGAGTGACCTTTGTGATCTCTGTGAGCCCTGTTTAATTGCCTACTAGTAGTCCATTGGTTGTGTCTGTTGTGTATGTGGGATATGTCTGGACAAGTTAGGTTAGGATTTGATCAGATCTTGTGGATAAGCAAGAAGAATATGAGGAAGAAATTCCTTGGCCTTTTGGCATGTGTCCAACGTTGAGGAAAACTAAAAGGGAAAATGATGCGCATTAGAGTGTGCCTCTCAAGGGGCTTCGGCTGCGTTTCCGTGGATATATCCCGTCTGGCCCACTTGTCTGAGGAGAGCGAAGCCTTAGCTCTGACCCCTGACCCTGGCAAGGCGGCATCTATTGCTGCGAGGCATTCACATGCCATTCAGGGGGGGGGGGAGTATGCCAAGAGGCTGGATAAGGGGACATTGGAATTCAGTGGTCAGACTCGCAAGTTATGTCTGATCCCTGCAAGCTACTTGTGGTGGTGTGATCTCTTCCAAAGCTAATCATTACATCTTGGTGGTCTTTTGGCTTTGATGTAGCCTCAGTCTTGTCTCTTGGGGACCCCCAGGTAGTGGTATCTGTAATCTTTTTCCAAGAAATAATGTTTCAATCTTATCTCAAGGAAATTATAGTTTAATGTTTAAGAGCCACAAAAACACACATTTAAAAGTTTTAAAGATTCTATGACTTATTAGGGTTGTGCTAAAGAAAACAATACAAGAGGTTGCACTGTACCTCTCTCTCTCTTTCTGCCGTTTAGAGTACCTTAAAGGCACAGTTCGACAATTTGGAAAACAAAATAAATTTGTTTTCTTGCTGAGAGTTAAATGATAAAGGCTGTAAACACAGGGAATCAGCAAGACTGGCTCTGTCCAAAGGCAAAACATTTGCCTACCTCCACCTTTAAAGCTTACTGATGAACATGTTACATATTTTTTGTGTAATCCATACCAAAAACAAAAATAAAGTTGATGTTTAATGTTGGCTTCATGGCAAACTCTCTATGATGAAAGGACTCCGGGAATTCACTGTGTCGGCCAAAAAATAGTCCAGCACATAACGCATCGTAAAATCTCAACATGCCATTTTTACACTTTTTGTACTAAATAAACAAACAAGAACAGTTTTCATTCCCCTCCATGAAGTGCACACAGCATTCACTGTGAGAGCAAGCTAGGCTTTGAGATAGGGCTGTACCGAATGTCTTTTCTTGTCACATTTGAAGCTTTAATGAGGTTTTCAAATGAAGCAGTGAATGTCTGTCGTCATATTTTGTGATGTTATGAACCTAAAAAAATGGGGAAAGTATGAATGTGTCATTGTGGTTATATAAATGTAATGTATGGAGCTGTTAGATTGCCGCTAGACCGCCCCGTTAAGCGACAGGTGCATGCAGGAGAGTAAACAGTTTTTGCCTGCAGTGAAAATGTTGTTTATGAGATGCTAAACATGGCATAAAAAATGGATTGAAGCAGGATATTTTAAAAATAAAAACATTGAGAATTTTGGAAATGATATCTATCTTTTTTCAATACATTTTGACTTTTGGACTGAGTAGTGAGACAACTACAGAGACTAGGGCCACTGCGTCGCTAGCTGACCATGTTGTCCTGTTCCTCTGTTTGTGTCCATCATGTAAACCTACATATCATCTGTCTGAATGAACCTACATATCATCTGTCTGAATGAACCTACATATCATCTGTCTGAATAAACCTACATATCATCTGTCTGAATGAACCTACATATCATCTGTCTGAATGAACCTACATATCATCTGTCTGAATAAACCTACATATCATCTGTCTGAATAAACCTACATATCATCTGTCTGAATAAACCTACATATCATCTGTCTGAATGAACCTACATATCATCTGTCTGAATAAACCTACATATCATCTGTCTGAATGAACCTACATATCATCTGCCTGAATAAACACCATTGCGATTTTGACAGTCAATTTGTCTACTGTTCCGCCGTGAAAACGATTCTGAAGTCAATAAAACATTAGTTGTGAATCACATTTCCCCCAGTCATGCTGCACATTTTGAGAACTACTGCTTCATGCTGAGATACTGTAAGTTAACTCTCTCCTGGCTGTCAGACATGACAGTGGCATTGATCTTCTCATCTCACTCTCAGCAGAAAAATGAATAGGTGTTTGTCTCAAAATACTGAACTATTCACTTTACTGAATATACTATGAAAATACTCTGAACTATTTGCATTTAAACTGTTCCCTTGCATTTGTGAATGTGTCTCTGCTGTTTCCACATTCAGGAGAAAGGTCGGAAAAGAAGTTTGGCCATTGGTAGCCTGAGCCAGCTGGTGTCACCACAGTCTCCTGCCATGCTGCTGGTTGTGCAAGAGAACCGTGACCCTGATGGCCACTATGGCTTCTCGTGTCGCCACAGAGAAGGCAGCGGACTAGTGGTGGTCAAGGTGGACAACTCTCACCTCTGTGTGGATGACAGGTAACACACAGGCACATTCAAAAGAAACCAAGTAATGTATCCAGGCTTAATGACAAATACTTGGTAAGTGTTCACAGAGGCCACCTAGATAGTGAGAGTATTCAGTGTGTCACTCATCCCACCCATTGCTTTCATCGCTCTTTTGTTCTGTGCTTGGTAGCTATGGAAACCCATCAGACACTGGCCTCAAAGCAAGCAAACACTGCAATGTAATACTTGGATGCAGAAGAGAGTGAAAAGAAGCAGATAACAATCTTCATATAATTAAGCAATTACAGCATTACAAGTACATGCTGATAAAACACAGCGCTCTCAAACTTGTGAGTATTCACACACGCACACACACACACACACACACACACACACACACACACACACAGACACACACACATACACAGAGCAGTGTAGTTGACATTCCTCTTTGAGACAATACTGCCAAAAAAAATAAAAATGTCATGCAGAGACTGAATCACCGAAGCTGAAGAAAGTCTTTGAGCCTCACTGTGTGTGTTCACTTATTATAATCATCTTTGCCAATGCTCTTTACACAGCTAATCAAAAGACACAAATTTTTTATGTGTCTTCAATATTTCATGCACTGTGATTTGAGAATTCTTTGATATTGTTTGTTGCTAGTTAAATAAGCATTGCATAGGTCCTGCCTCTACCTGCAGAGAGAATCCCGCCAAATAATGATTTGATGTTTTTAATGGTTTGAGAGAGAATTTCCCAGTCAGCTTTTCAGTACCTTCTTTATGTTATAGCACAATATCATATGATTTGTACATTGTTTGTTTGACTTGTTGTCTTTTTGCACATATGTGTGTAATTTAACTTGTAGACTGGTGGAGGTGAATGGTGTGCTGGTGGTCAACTCTACACAGGAAGAGCTGAGTGACATCCTGCTCCAGGGACCCAGCGCCAAAATTGTTGTCCTTCGCCAGCCCCCGCCCACCCCCACCTCCCAGCAGCACCCTCTGCTCCCGCAGTGCATCGTCAACCCTGATCTCGTGCAAACAATCAACCAAGAACGGGATGTGGTCAGCATCGAAAGCCCTCCGCGACGGAAGGTGATGGCCATCTGATGATACGAGGAAGAGAAAAAAGACAACTACAGAGACTGAGGGAAACAGTGAAATGCCATGTCATCTTTTGTTAGTTATTTAACTCCATATGTGAAAATGTCTATCTGTTGAAATATTCCCCATAGATTGTTGCCAAAGGCCTTTAAGTTAGGAACATCAAATAGTAATATAGCTGTGTTGTTATGGGACGTGAAGCTTACATGGACATAACTTTGTTCTTGGTAGATACAACAGTTAATCCCTATTGTTGCAATGTATGTGCTGAACATTGCCTGTGAAAAACACATTTCCAGAAAAACACAAAGAACAAAAACAGACCACATTCACTTCTTCTTTCTATTTGGATCTCCTCTTGTTTTACATCATATTTGTGGCATGAGGGAAAATGAAAAGTAAAAGGAAGAAACATAGAGGCAGATAGAGCTTTTTTTAATTTTTAACATCAGGCATTTCTGAAGGTATAACAATGTAAGCCTGATGAGGACGCAGCATGCTTCCCTGTTTTTGAAGCACAGATAGGATTGAAAATATGTGACTATAGAATATAGTGTAAAGACACGTCCGAGAGCTTTGTATCCTGATTTCTCTTTGAAGATTAGACACTAGGATGGTCTGGAACAGTGTTCAGAACAGAGGATTTCTTAAAACATGAGTCACGTCTCTTTTTTTGTATGTTGTAATGTAATCCACTGTGCTGTAGGAATAAACCCTTGGGCCCGGAAATGCCTCATTTCTCAGCCTTATTCTCCCTCTTTAAGTGGCAGTGGATCATGCAAGTCTGACAGAGAGACAGCACAAACACTACCAAACCCCTGACCCAGACCCCTGGGGTCCAAAGAGCCTGAGAGGAGAAGCGATGAGACCCGTTTCGCCAGTCAGTCAGTCAGTTGATGAGAAAGGTCACAGGTCAGACCCCAAAACATTTGACCATTAATGCTTTTGCAATCAATAGCAAATGAGCTCCACATAATCCTGATGATGAGAGAGATGGTATTTTCTGGTTGCCAAACCGACCAACAAGGGAGGAGTATGACACTGGCAAGCTGGAGATTTGAGAGACTTAGTCGCAGACATGCGAAATTGAAGTTAACCATGGCACAACATGTTCATTTACCCACTGACACAGATAAATCACAACAACATACCTCGGGAAGCGTAACAATATAGTGAGAAATTATCCAAAACCACGGAACAATGCAATAGATGGGTGTAGGCACACGCAGAGCTGAAGAGAGAGACGGAGGCAGATAGAGAGGAGAGACACAGAGAGGTAGAGACGGTTTGCGACTGACAATGATGCTGATGCCGATTGTCAAAATATCCATGCAGCATGGGACTGAGGTCAATCGGTTCTGTTCTACCCTTCAGCACAGAGAGAGAAATTCACAGCTCGGTAAAGTAAAGCCACACAAGAGACAGAGGAGAGAATGTGTCATGGCAGCCTTTATGGAAATAAATTAACACTGGAGAAAATGAGAGAAAATCCTATAAACACTGCTGCTGGCAAGAGTAGAAAGACACTCTGGTATTCCCAGTGACCAACACACCCCAAAAACACACTTGCAGGCTTTGATACTCCGAGCTATAAACCACTGCAGGTTGTCAATCTAAGATGCAGAGGAAATCCTTGGTGGGTGAGTAATTGAAGTGACACCATGAAACCTTCAAAACGTTTTCAAAGATGCTGTCAAGTTCAGAGGACGAATCACAGGACCCAACACTCTACTGTATCATAGCTAGTCAGGAACATCTGCAGCGAGTTTGAGTTGTACAGCGGCCTCCTCCTGCATTACCGAGGCGCCTCAGGTTGACCCAGGCTGTACCTGACACGTAGTGGCACAGAGCATCCTCCACTGCATCTGGTTTGCCTTAGCAGCCCCGGTAGAGCTACATCCAGCGTACACTGATAAGCTGTGGGGCGAGCCCGGTGTGGCTGGATTTCTCTCTTTCGCCCGGCGAGCCCCCAGCATCTCACTCCTCACTCCTCAACCCCCCCTTCCCTCCCACCTCCTTCAACTCTCTAACCACCCCATGACATTTAAGGGTGCCTGGCATCCGTTTGAAGTGGGAGAGGGGGCATTAGCTCTGGTTTCCTGCCCAAATCCCACACAAGCCAATAAAATGCATGCAGGTCTGCAGCGAACCAGAGGAATTCCTGTCCACTAACCGTTAAACAAACAAGACTGGCATTGGCCTTATATCATACTGTATGGCATAAAAGATTGTTGCTTAATGCAGACACTACTGTATCTTCCTGTTTTAATCATAATCCCTTTGTGCGTTTCTGATGGCCTCCCTGCGACATGAGACTCTTAATTACAGTTAATGAAGCAGTTAGTGAGATGTTAATTAGAAGACACTCATTATTAATTGATGTAAATCATCTCACTTGTTCATGTAACTTTGTGCAGTAAACCCTTATGCAGTGAACACAGCCCTACACCTTCTAGCCTCTTATATTTCGGACATCACTCAGCAGCAGCGAGAGCCAGGAAGGTCAGAGTCAAATCCCAGGGGCTTCTGATTTCATTTTGCTGAGGTGGAAATGGGACTTCTGCCTCTTCCTCTGGCAAATCTCACACTAAGTAGCCGCACTAGGTACTTGAGAAACTCCCCGGAGATATTTACCCTCTCCTGGTCAACATTGCTGTGTAATTTGACCTTTGTCCCTGGTATAGTCTCACTGCAGTCACTGCCGGTCCACACAAGCTGGGGAAGTACTGCCATCTATTGGCAGTCTCACAAACTTCACACCAGTTCCTTGAATTGGTGTACAGATGAGAATGCCTGTTGGGACTGATTACGAAGTGATTCTGATTAGATCCTATTATTCATACAGAGGAAGAGATGTATAACAATTATCTTCCATGTCGGGATGAACACACAAGGGTGGAAAAATCACATGCTTCGAACTGTAATCAGTAATGTAATCCCGTGGCAGAATACTGATTAATGTGCAAAACACAATGTCCTGGTGTACAAAAGCTGTAACTGTGATTTCTGTTAAACATCCTTTAAATCTTCTACTTTATTACATTAGGAAAAGTACAACGTCTTGGTCTGTACATCAGGTACAGAGGAATCTGATTACTCTTGGTTAAGTAGATTTTTGTGTGTCTAGCGTTCATATAAAACAATTAAATAAAATACCGATATTTATTGAGGTGTTTAATTGTAATTTGTGTTATGGTCATCATTTAGAAACCGTGTCTATTGCTCTTCTGAAAATGAGTAAATAAGTTAAGATTTAACATAATAAATATTTAAGTGGAACTCCATCCTAGTCAACAATGCATCATACAGTCCATGAAACCTAACAAGCATTCGGCAGTTTAAAAAATGTATTTATTGTATGTGAGGTGTCTTAAAGTAGTTGTAATCAAGAACAGTCAGCATTTTGTAATGAGATTGTTATTAATGTAATTACATTCATTTCCTGCCAACCCTGTAATACACAAGGCCGATATGTAAATGTGAGCCAGACTCTTTTTTTATTAATCAGGATATTTTCTACATCACACAGTCAGATTAAAAATAAGGTAGGGAGAACGTGCGTGATTGATGACTACACTTGGAGGTTAACGTGGGTTTAACTACCCCAAATGAATGTGTATAGGCTGGAGCTGACGTGGGGCTGCTTTTCAAAAGTGTCTGAGAGACATTATAACACTCTCCAGCTGCTCAATTATAAGGCTAATGAAAAGGCCATTAGGATTAAGTCTAAGGTGTGCTTCGGATGAGATAAATATGTTGGTGGAATTGCTTTGCATAGCCTTGCCAGCAGGCAGCAATTGAGAAAGGTCAGCATAAGGTATTAGTCATTTTCCAATCCATTCTCTGTGAAACATAGAGCGCATAATGGCTCGTGTCTCCGTCGAATAAAATATTGAATTAAAGCAAGATAAAAATGCAGATTTGAAAAATCATTGTGGAACACAATACGTGAAGAGTGGCTGGGGTATTTTGAATTGTGTGGTAGAAACTACAAAGGAAGAAAAATTCATAAGAAGAGGAAGAAATCAAATGAGAAAGTGAGGTGGATAATACATCAAAAGATTTTTAAGCCTCTGATGATCCCTGGCTTTTTTCCTTTTTTTTTTATAGCTAGCTGGCGTTGGGTTATTTGTATTGTAAAAAGAAAAATCTTCCCACACTCTGAACAACAAGTACTTCATTTATAAACCTCCGAGCAATTTCTGGCACTAGGGACTATTCTGGCATTACTTCTGTGCTGTGAGGAGTATAGGCTTGTCTAAGAAGGAGGCGGAGAGGCAGCGAAAGTAAAAGTCCACAAAGGGGGAAAAAAACAGCCAAAATCATATTGTCTGTGGGAGTAATTACTGTAATCAGCATATTTCAGAATTTGGGTAAATAAATGGAAAACTAGTTAAATGATGCATGCCAAAATTTTGACCATTGCATGCAGAAATACAGCTATTTCCTTTGATGTACGTATAACGTAAATCATTTGGTACAGTAATCATCTTTAGAAATCCTTTCTAACCACTCAGCTCTCTCCTATGAACCGCCTGCGATTACACTCTAGATGGCAGTAAAAGTCTCAGTATTCTAATGCTCCTAAAAGCCTCTCAGTGAAACCCAACACTTGCAGAAAAGGATCCTTCTCAAGCATCCACGTTTGAGAGACTGCCAGGCAAATCCTCAGCTCGGGCTGATTATTTGCTCCTCGATGGTTTGGAAAGTAGGCCAAGGCACCACTAATTCTGATTTGCAAAAAAAGGTTTGACACAAACAACAGACACCAAATGTTGAAGAAAACACAAGAACATGCAAATGCAGGATATTCCATTTGATGTTTGTGGGAATCGAGAAAGGATGACGAGTCACATGCAGTATAAGGGCTCTACATTGTCTTGCTCAACTAATTTATCTTCGAGACATTGCCATCTAATGGACCAGCTTTTACATCAAATGCTGTTTGCCTTCTGATTCAAGAACATATTCAGTCGCAAACATATAAGCCAACGACTTATGTGGCT